CCAATTTACTCAGGAGATACTGTATTTTCTACTTCCCATGTAGATTAGATCCATGTAAGTCTCTTTTAGGGTCATCACTGTTGTCTAGGTTCTCTGGGGTTGTGAATTGTAGGCTGGTTTTTCTTTGCTTTATGTCTAAAAGCCACTTATGAGTGAGTAGATTTTATATCTGTGTTTCTGGGTCTGGGTTACCTCACTCAATATGTTTTTTCCTAGATCTATCCATTTGAACTGTGAGTTCAAGGCCAGCCTGGCCTACAGAGTAAGTTCCAGAACAGCCAAGGCTACAGGGAGAAACCTTGTCTGGAAACCTTCCTTCCCCCCGACCAAAAAAGAAGAGCTGGGGGGAGGAGCTAAAAGGTCACACACAGAGCATTTGGGGGCACGGGAATGAGTCTGTATGGTCTAAGCATGGGGGGGCCATGTCATCAAACATCTAAGCCTACAGAATGTCCTGCACTAAGGCATCACCCTAGTGCAAGCTACGGACTTAGCACAGAAAGCTGCTCTGCTGGGGAAGTGGATAATAAAAGAGGGCGGGCAGGGGGTGGGACAGGGACAAAAGAGAATGTTCTGTGCCCTCTGCAGTGTACTGTGGAAATAAAGCTGTTTGCCTCAAAGTCTCTAAAATCAGAACAAACATGGGACATGTGGGCCAAGTGCCAATGCGAATGGTGACCAGGCCACTTGTGGTCAGTGAAGACTGCTTCCCTTTGGACCACGGGCTGGTGTGGTGCAGGCCATAAGTGGAGAGACACACCGAAGAATTATCAGATGAAGCTAATGTTTCAGAGCCAAGCACGATGTTCACACTTGTAATCACAGATGAGGCAAAAAGATGGCCATGAGTTTAAAGCCAGCCTGGGCTCTATAGTGAGAACCAGGTCTGGGAGGCTACACAGAAAGACCCTGGAGAGGGGTGGCAGGAAGAGGAGGAAGGAAAAAGACTGAAATTGGCCTATATAGTATTTTTTATTTTCGACATAGTGTTTCTCTGCTTAACAGCCCTAGCTGTCCTGGAACTCAGTCTATAAACCACGCTGGCCTCAGACTCACAGAGATCCACCTGCCTCTGCCACCCCACTGCAGGGATTAAAGGCCTGCCCACCGTGGCTCAGTTAATCTTCAGATGCACCTTTTAACCTCCGCACCTCCCTCAGCCCCATATGATGAACACGATTTCCAGCGCACAGCAGCTCCTACTTGCAGAGAAGCTGCAGAGTCCACAGTCTTCCCTGCAGAATCATTTTCTGTTCTCTTTTGTGTGCACGAGGGGCTAGGAAACACGTTTTAGTGGAAAACAACTGACTTTACTCACATGCGCTCTGCTTACCTAGCTTATCTTTCAGGTCCTGAGTTTCCCCTCCCTCCTGCTCTCCCTCCCTTCTTGCCTTCTTGATTTGTTTTTTAAGACAGGGTCTCAGTATGTAGCCCTGGTTAGCCTGGAATTCAGAAATCTACCTGCCTCTGCTGGGCTTAAAGGCATGTACCACCACACTTAGCATGGAAACACACTGTCATCCGTGAGTGTCCCCTAGAGCCCAGCACAGTGGCCTACACTGAACCCAGCATGCGTCCCTGTAAGCTCCAGGACAGGTGTCACTTCCTGACTAGGACAATGCCAGCACGTGACAAGTAACTTCCAATGAGGAATATTAGTTTCTGAACTCATGTTGTGTGTGTGTGTGTGTGTGGTTTCTCTGTGTAGCTTTGGAGCCTGTCCTGGAACTTGCTCTGTAGATCAGGCTGGCCTTGAATTAACAAGAGTTCCACCTGCCTCCCAAGTTCTGGGATTAAAGATGTGCGCCACTACCACCTGGCCTACTTTCTGAACTCTTTATGTTATCATATAGTCTCTTGAAGCCAGGTATAATTTTATATGGAGGTAATTATTAATGTTGACTACCAAGTTACTATCCAGCTAGAGCTAGTCTCCAAGCTGATATTTAAATATCCAGCATCACTTATAATAGTTGGTACCATCTCAGCAGACAGCCGGCATAGCACAGAACAAGGTGCCAATATGGAGAGGGAGGAAGAGAGGTAGAACTTATAGATTTCTCTAAGACTATAAATCAATAGCGGTGGGAGGGAGGGAAGGAAAGGGATAACTGATACAAATACATTATAATCTCAAAGAATAAAATTAATTATAACAATTTAAAAAACACATCTTCAACATTATATATGTATATATACATATCTATATGTGTGTTATGTGTACGTATGTATGTATGTCGTTGTGTATGGAGAGAGAGAGTAAAGTCAACTACTGGAAAACTTCAAGCTTTCTTATCTTGGTTATCCAGAGCTGAGCTCACTGACAGATGTTCGTCCTCTTTGTCCGCCAGAGGAGCAGTCACTATCCGCATCCATTAGCAGCTGGAACACTGAAAAGGCCACACTGGAATATGAACGTGCGTCCTGGCTCACACAAAGTCATGTTTAAAAAATAAAAGAAAAAATAATTATAATTATAACTAATTCACAGAAATTTAAACAGAATGGCTATCTGATTATAATCCTTTATTTATAATTTGTTGTTGAGACAGGGTCTTTCTATGTAACCCTGGATGTCCTGGAACTTGCTATGTGGACCAGACTGGCTTTGAACTCACAGAGATCTGCCTGCTCTCAGGTACTTTTTAAGGTATGGTAATTGTTTGGAAGTTCCATCCCAAGCCCCCTCTCCTGGGAGTTGTCTCAGTCCAGACTCCAGCTCCAAGAAAGACCAACAAAAGATGACCCTCCCCAGAGATGCTCAAGACCACACCCACAGGGTATTTAAACTGCCCCACAGACAACAAACAGTGGTTTCTGGTCTTCCTTCCTTCTCCTCTCTGGGGGGCTGGAATGCCACCTGGGAGCGCTGGTATCTGTTAAACCCAGGCTTTCTCTAATTCGGTTTGCTCTGACTTAGACTATTGCAGCAGCAGAGAGGCTTATCAGGCTGCAAAACCTTTTCAGTTAATAATCCTGTGATGTGCCATCAATACATTGTAAAAGGCGCCCTTCAGCTGGGATTAGAGTCTGGAGAGAGACAGAGAAGAAACAAGATGTGTGTTCATTCTTGATGCCAAGTCATGGGCACAGGGTGATTCACTATGCAAATGTTTCTCCTTTGATAGACATTTGAAATGTTCCCCAAATTTCAAGCATATGCCAAAATTGTCTGAAACTGTTAAGTTTAAAAGAAAAAAAAGACTGGGCCTCCTGGTCTATGGCTGCTGCAGGGGCCACCCAGTCCGGTTGTATTTTCTTCTGCCACCATCACTGTCCACAGAAAGCAAGATTTACCAATGTGGAGTCCATGAATTCCTAGAATACCTGTGGATGCTTCAGAGGAGGGGGCAGTATGTGTGCATGTATGTTTGGTGGTGTGGGGGGCTGCCCACGACTTTTACCAGAGTCTCAGAGGGCCTTGTGACTCAAGAACGATTATATTCACAGGAAACACATTAAACACGCTTAAGAGAAAAGGAGAGGGAGGGCAGGAGGGAGGGAAGTAGTGAATTGGAAAAACAACATGTAAAGTAATCCTCTTTTTATATTTCCTCTGAGTGGCTCATGAATGATGCCTCCTATTAAGCCTGAATTGGACGGTCCCAGGGATTAGTTAGAGCTGAGGTGGCTAATTCAACTAAAGCTTTGACACTGGGATGCTGGAGAGAGAGTCAGTTGCTAAGCACTTGCTGTTCATATAGAGAACCAGAGTTTGCTTTCCAGCACCCAAATCAGGCAGCTTTCAATCAACCACAATAACTCCAGCTCCAGGGGATCTGACACCCTCTTCTGGCCTCCACAGGCATGTGTGCTCGCAAGTGCCTATGTGCGCAAGCACACACACATACACACTCAGAGACAAATACACACGTACACACGAACAAAAATGATAATAAACTTTTTAAATTAAATCATTGACATTGCATGGCATGTCTTGAGAGATAAAGTGCTGTTTATGATCCTTAAAAAATTGTCTTTTCCAGGAGAAAGCTCCCCAAACTAGTTATCCAACACTGAGAGGTCAGCTCTGAGAGCACATCCATACAGCCGACATGTGGACCGAGCAGGCTGTATTTATATACTGTGTGTGTTGTGTGTGTGTTCGCGCGCACGTGTGTGTGTGTCTGTGTGAACAATTAAAGAAAACCAGACTATGATGTGAGAAAGAGAGCAAGAGAGTGAATGAGAAGGGTTGGAGAGAGGAAAGGAAAAGGGAGCTGGGACATGACTATATTATAATTACAAAACATAAAAATTATTACTAAAGAAAATGAATGAAGCAGGACACGGTGACACATCTTTAATCCCAGCACGCAGGAGGCACAGACAGGTGATCTCTAAGTTCAAGATCAACCTGGTCTACATACTGAGTTCCAGGACAGTCACGGCTACAGAGTGAGACCCGGTCTCAAGAAAAAAAAAATGAGTCTGATTTTGGTAAATTAAAGCCTTGCTTTCAGTGATGAACAAAGAAAAAGACAAAAACAGGGCTAATTATTATTACATAATGCCCTAACTCCTAGACACAGCCAAGAAGCTGCAGGGAGAATGAAGGTTGTGGGCACAGGCCACGCAGAACCCCTTCTAGACACACTGCCCCTGCTGGCTATTCTGGACTTGTGCCCAAATGAACTCCATCCCTCTTCTGGTACGAGCATCCCAACTTTATCTCAAACACCTCTTCCATCCCCAGTCCACCCCATGGAGCCAATGTTTGCAGTCTTCAGCTGCGGCACTCCCCCCAACCATCATTCGCACCCAGAACATCAAGAAAGCTTTTGCTGAGTGCTGCAGAGTGAGCTCCAGGTCCCCCAGGCGAGCACTCCGCACAGAGGACATCCTCAGACCTACCTCCTGGGTTTCTAGTCAACCAAAGAACAGGAACTAATTTCAACAAAAGGCTTACTTAACGCCTACCAGTTTTGCTACAGATATCACATACTTAATCTTCACAAAGTCCTAAATCAAGACAAAGTAAGATCTCACAGGAGCCGAGAGGGGTTACAAGGTTCAAGTTTGTTATTAATTATGTATTGATAGTGCCCAAAGCAAAGGCAGTGCCAATTTTGAGTGTTCCAGAAAACTAATCATGGATTCATACCCACAGTGAGACCAGCTTGAGATTCACACCATCTTCCCAAGCCGTCAGTGCTCCAGGACCTCACATACCCAAGAGTCCTTTTGCTCAGCAGCTCTCAGCTGTTTCCAGCCCCTGGTCCATCTGCCTCTTCACCTGGATTCTGGCCCTCAGTGGAAGCCTGGCCGCCGAGCCTGAGCCAGCTCTCTACTTTTCTTGCGCATGTCCAACTTTGGCTTAGAACAAAAGAAGCAAAGAGGAGATCTTTTTGGTGGCTTTCTGAAACAAAGAGCCGTGCAGTTCTCGAGCGTGAACTCTGTGGATGACAGCCATGTGCCTGCCTCACGGTGAAAGGTTGGACATGCCTGAGTGCCTTCACTAACTTCCTCACTGCCTACAAACACTGGTCCACAAGGCCTGTGGCAGGAGTCGTGAGCCATGAGCTGCCCTGTCCCTCGCACCCTCCAGCAGTTTGCTGGGAAAAGAGACTCCACAGTGGCTCTGCCATTCTTCCCTTGAACCCCACTTAGAGTCGCTCCTAATTAGCACAGACTTGGAGAATAATGGCTCTTGGAGAGATGCCCATCTGATCCCCAGTGATCTGAGTTTGTGACTTTACCTGGCAAAAGAGAATTAAGACTACAGCTAAAGGTCACATCACTGATCAACTGACCTTCCAAGAAGTCTGTTGGAAATTACGTAAACTCCAGAGTAACTTCCTGTAATCTAAAGCATTGTAAAGCCAGGTGTGGTTGTACTCCAGCACGTGGGAGACTGAAGCAGAAAGAGCACAAGTTCCAGGCCAGCCTGGTCTACACAATGAATTCCAGGCCAGCCTGGTCTACACAATGAATTCCAGGCCAGCCTGGTCTACACAGTGAATTCCAGGCCAACCTGGTCTACACAGTGAATTCCAGGCCAGCCTGGTCTACACAGTGAATTCTAGGCCAGACTTGGCTACACAGGGAGATCCTTTCTTTTAGAGGTTGTTGTGATGGTTTGTTAGATACACTGGTTGCTTTTGCCAAGGACTTGGGTTTAGTTCTCAGCACCCACATAATTGTTCATAACCACCTGTAACTACAGTTCCAGGGAATTCAATGCCTTCTTCTGGTCTCTGGGGTAACTGAAGCATCCACATGCATGCAAGGAAAACTCTCAGCCATGTAAATATTTTCCAAAATTCATCCACAAACAAAAGAGGCAGAGTAGTAGAATCAGAGAGGAAGATTTGAGGTAAAATTTTTGGCCTTTAAGACGTGATTTCTGGCCCTGAGGCAGGAAGAAGAGAAGGGGGAAACGAAGAGCCAAAGAACATGGGCTAGTCTTAATCTAACAGGATAGGAAGGAACAAAGAGACTCTGTCCTGAGGCTTCCAGAACCACAGCCCTGGCGACAGCTTATGCTTACAAGCAAAGGCATCAGACTACCACTGCAGAACTGTTCCCATGTAGACACAGGTAGTTTGAGACACTCTGCCTCTGGTAATGTCACGGAGGCAGTAAGAGGCTAGTGCAGTGTGTGTATTTGGACTCCCTAACAACCACAGCTAGCGTGAACTTGTTCTTACCTTATGGGAAATGGCCAAGTCTCCTAAGGTGTGCTGCTGTAACCTAGCAGCGCATTTAGAGCCGACTTGCTGCTTTTCCTTGTGTTGATGACTACGGGCCCTGGTTACGCTGCCAGGGCAAACAGCACTGAGATGGGTATCTAAGGCTCCTAGAAAGTAATCGTGCAGCCTGAGCTGCCCCGTTTTCTGCCCACGGCTCTGCTTGGCCCACAGCTCTGCTACAAAGCTTCCCAGCAGAGCTGGAAGGGCATGGCAGAGGGTACCCACAGGTTCTCACGCCACCCCACCTGCTAGGAGAGGACGGGGTCGGCTTGTTATTCTGCAATGAGGTGACAGGGCAAACTCCATCCAGGATTGGCACTTTTGTTCAGTAGTGTTGAGCAAATTCTTATCATCTGCTTACCACAAACTGACCATGACCCTTGGGATGCCAATCTGCTCTCCCTGGAGCCGCTCGTTCATTTGTTCAGCAAACAGGTTCTGTGTTCCTGTGCCAAAGTCAATGGACACTAGAAGCCACAGCTCCTTCGGGAACTCTTGTCCTGCGTGTTTGTTCCCGGTCTACCGTAAGAGACAGGGGCATGCTCTTCCAGCCGGCTGTATGCCTCAGTCATCGCCCACACGCCAGGGTTTGGCACCGTCTCCTGGCTGTTTGTTTAGCCAGAGTCTCACACAGCCCAGGCTGGCCTTGAACGGTCTATGTAGCCAACATCAATTGTGAACTTTTTTCTAGATTTATGTGTATGAGTGCTTTACCTGCACATATATGTGTGTGTGCACTACTTGTGTGCCCAGTTTTAGAAGAAGGCATCAGAGCCCCTGGAACTGGAGTTATGGTTACGAGCCACCATCGGGTGCTGGGAATTGAACTAGGGTACTCTGCAAGAGCAACAAGTGTTTTTAACTGTTGATTCATCTTTTTTTAAGCATTACACCGTGTGTGTGTCTGTGTGTGTGTGTGTGCACGTATGTATAGTGTATGCAGGCATGTGCTGCCATGGTGTACCTATCAAGGTCAGAGGACAACTCTGTCCAGTCTGTCTTTTCCTACCTTTATGCAGGTCTCACAGTTCAAACTCAGGTGGTCATACTTGTCCAGAAGTGCTCTATCCATTGTGCCATCTCCCTGGCTTTGACCTTGAACTAATTCTCCTGCTTCTACATTCCAAGTGCGGGGATCACAGCCATTTGCTCCTATGTCTGTCTCCAGGGTTTGGAGTTGGTACAACTGTTCTAGCACTGGTGCACATAAAAGCCAGGCTTCTTTGCTTTCCTTGTCACTATTTCCACGCTCCCTCGACGTCCCGTCGATGCCCTTCTGTTCAGTGTCTCCACGCTTCCTGAATGTCCCACCGATGCCCTCTGTCCACTGTCCCTACGCTCCCTGGACGTCCAGTGATGCCCAGCACTACCTACCTGGACGCTGTGATGCCCGACCTCCCAGTCCTTCCAGCACTTCCTTCTGGTCAATTCTGAAAGTGCTGTTCAGCAGAACTGAGAGGCTGTCGGGTGTTCTAGCACAAAGTAGGGCTTTCCCTAAGCTGTCTGGTTGCTTTCTATTACTCCCAACTTGTAAGGGCTCATCAACTCCTAAAATGTCAGTAACACCTCAGAGAGCTTAGCAAGGTAGATGATGCAGGCCACATTGACACAGCCTGCATCATGCCAGCAGCCTCGGGCTGGCCTCCCTCACTCCAGCCGGCTGTACTCCAATGCATTCCTTGTGTGCCTTTCCAAGCTCTTCTGGTCCTCACTCAGGGCCAGGCGCAGCTCCAGATGGCAAGACAAACAGCTGTGGTAACGCACAGTAGTTGAGGGCACAGCCTTGGGAGAGCAGCGGCTCTGCCCTTTCTGGAAGTCCCTTCACCTCACTGCATCTCCATTTCTTTGTTTATGCAGTGGGACCAATACAGGTGCATATTCTCAGGATGACAGGAAGATAACTGGGATGTGAGGTTGGGCAGTACAGCCACAGAGTGCTTGCCGGGCATGTGTGAGGCTCGGGTGCAATCCTCAGCGCTGTCACTAAAGAAAGGGGAACACGTGGAAAGCAGCCAGCTTGGTGCCCGGCACATAGAAAGCATTCCCTGCTCACACAGCAACGAAGGGAAGATTGGGCAAGTGGCAGGAGCAGAGTGGACACATGGGAGTGCTTGGCGGGAGGAGTGGGCAGAGGAGACCGAGTGGCAAATCCTGGTGGAGCTCCATGGAACCAGCTCTGAAGGCCAGAATGGAATTTCCTCAGAGAAGAGACGGGAAAGTTTCTGCAGCTCGCTAACCTGAGCAAAGGTACCAAAGAACGGGGAGCTTATGAGTGTGCCACTAACAGCCATCTGCTGCTTCGTGCAAATCCTGTTAGTAGACCACGAGCTCCTAAGAGAAAGACTTCAGCCTCCCGAGTCTTCCCCTCCAGCAGCCAAGCACTAACTGGACACTGGGCGATGTATGAGACAGGGTCACCTGCACGCCCTGCCCTCCTGAAACTTCCTCAAGAAGACAGCAGGACATCAAAACAAGAAGACTCATACACAGTGTGCTAGGGAGGAACACAAAGAGCATCCTACGGAGCAGTGTGACTCAGGGTGGAGGTCAGGGGAAGCTATTCTTCAGGAGATACAAATGAGTCATGACGACACCGAGCTGGAAGAGTGTCCTAGAAAGAGGACACATTCCCGAGCTGTGAGGGAGCTGGTCATACTAAAGAAACACAAAGCAAGCCAGAGTCGGAGTGCACGGTGAGAGAGAAGGGCACTCCCGGCACGATGGGCAAGGCTTCAGTCATATGTCCAACCTTGGTAAGCCACCGCAGAGTTAGGATTTTATTCTAAAATTCACTAGGAAGCCGCTGGCAGGGGTCAAGTGAGGACATGATCTGGCTGGCATTCCTAAACCCCGCTGGCTGCACGGTGGAGCCGGCTGTGAAGAGAATCAAAGGGAAGGGCTGGAGTCCACCAGAGAAAACTCTAGTCTTGGGATGGGGGATGAGATGTCTGGAACCTCTCTGCTTCCATCGAGTCACACAATCTACTCTCTTTGCAAGGCCCAGCTCTCTCGGGTGGGCAGACAGGGGGCTTGGTCACTAAGGTCACTGCCCATTGGTTGACTATGTCTCCTCCAGGCCATTCCCACTTCCTTTTCTCTTTCAGTCCCCATTCTCCTCCCCTTCCGAATTCTCAAGTTCCTGTGTCTAAAGCCTGACTTCACGAGCACCTGCTGGTCCCTCCCTCTTCTCTCTCCACTCCGTGACCCACAATAATAATAGCTCAATGTAAAGAACATATTTATTGTTTGTTCAGAAACCCAAACCACCGACCATCAGCAGAAACCTAAGGGTGCCTATGTACTGGCCATAACCCGCACACATTCTGCATGTTAGACACAGGGTCTGCTCACATCCGAGCTTGATCGCCCACAGAAGCCAGAGAAATCTTTCAACAGAGGAAATCTGAGCAGGACTAAAGCTCATCATGACTGCTCTTGGTCCTCAGGTACATATCAGCTTCTTCAGTGGGGGCCAAGGTGTCTAGCTGTTAGGAACCCAGGACACACCCCGCCATTTCCTCCTTGCTCCCTGGGCTCCACCATACGTCCTTGCAGAACGCGCCCCCTATCGGCCACAGGACTGTTGTACATCCTCTCCTCTGTTTCCAAGTCTCTGACCTCCCCTTTCCTTCAGCTGAGAGTCATTCTTCAGACCTTTGCCCATTTTCTTCTTAGAAAAATCTCCTACGATGTGCGTCAATGTACACTCACAGGATGGTCTGAGATGTGTCAAAGCACCTGATTTTATAACAACACAGTTCCTTGTGCAGATCTTTTGAGACAGGGTCTCATTATGTAGTCTATGTGAACCCCAAACATATGATCCTCCTGCCTCAGGCTCCTAGTATTTTGTGTGAAATGAAGATGGGTGACGTGCTTGTCTCACAGAATAAAGACCTGGACGCAGACCCCAGCACCCATGGAAGCAGCCAGCATTGGGGGTGGGGGTGGGGGTGGGGCGAGTGGGTGGCGGAGACAAGCAGATCCCAGGGGCTCACTGGCCAGCTAAAATGGTTCCAGGTTCTGTGCAAGAACATGTTTTCAGTAAATAAAGATAGAGTGATAAAGATACCAGTTATCAAACTCTGGCCACCGAACATACACACACACACACACACACACACACACACAAACACAGGCTGGGGATATGGCTCAGCAGCAGGGTGTCTGCCTTTAAGTAAGAAGGCAGTCCATCCCCAGCATTCTCAATGGCAAAACAAACAAAGCTAATTCTCTTCCTTTCCCAGCAGCTGGGAGGAGCAAGACCTTGGCCTCTTTTTGCTTCTGTCTCCCAAACAGAAGCTGACTATAACATGGCATGTCATGAGATCAGATATGGAAAGATTTCCCAAAAATCTCACATGTATTTATTTTGGTGACTGGCAAGCAAATAGTACTGCCAGGAAAGAAGAGGAGTAGGGAGTGTCACACCCGTGTCGCAACACTCAGGAAGTTTCCCCTGCCTTTCCCAGACCCCACTACCATGTCAACTGGGCATTTGTTTCCAAAACCCACCACCCTTCTGCAACAACATCGTCTCGGTTCCCTTCCCTCCTTCAAATCCTCTTTCCAGGGCAGCAATCACATCTGATCCGGGTTTCACAAGGCGGGTGGGTGAGAATTCAAAAAGCTACTACTCGCTTATTAGGGCTCACACAATAAACCGTGATTCACAGAGTCCTTAAAACAGCCCTGTGAAGTAAACCGTACAAACATTACTATTTCCATTTTAATAGATGGGGAAACTGAGGTTCAAAGAGGCAAGTAGCACGCACAAGGTGAGAAAGCCTATAAGAAACAGACCGGGACTTGAACCCACACACTCTTACTACCTAGTCCAAATGCTTCCTAATATCAACCGCCCCTGCAGTTCCACCATCAACTACTTAAGGCTGGTGGTGTCGTTCCTGGCTTCCCTGGTCCATGTGCAATCCCTTCCTCAGAACTTATCGGCTGTCTGGACAGCAGGGCGACGATACACAAAGCTGGCCACATTCTCAGGGTCTTTGCAAGGCTTCCTCTTAGCCACCGAGGAACCAGAATCAAAACACAAAGACCCGCGAAGGTCCCCGGATACCCTCTCGACCACCTAAGGCAATGCGAGGCAAGGCCAGAAGCCGGCGTCTGCCGCCAAAGGGGACCCGCGGACAGAGGTCACTGGTCCGGGACACCGGGCAGCAGGCGATGCGGGGGCTGCGGCGGTGCCGGCGGCTCAGGGTTCGGCCC